GACGGACAGGAAAAGGTGCATCGTGATATATAAAGCTAGTAGGTTTGCTAAGTATCTGTTGCTAAGCACAAATGTAAGGGGGAAAAGAAGTAACTCTGGTTGAGTGTATTGCTAAATTATCCCACCAGTTCCAGATTAGCTAGGAAGACTGGATTAAGAGAGAAAAAGGAGACAACGAGCAATATTTCCTTCACATCATAATATGCTCTAGTCAGTATGTAACGATGCATAACGAAAAGCAACACTGCAGGGTCTTTTCAATTTTTCCTCTTCTTGAAACACAGATTTTGTTTATTCCATAGCTTGTCTGCAGTCCCCCTCACTTGATTATCATATTTCATTATGTTCCACGATTTTAAAGTGAATTATAGGAAAGGAGGAGAAGGAAGTAAAGCCTGAGACTTAAAAGAAACACTGGTGCCCTGGACTATGTCCAGCAGCATTAGTTTTTAAACCTAGCAGTGGTACGCTGACATGGACAGCCCCTGTTTGTACAAGGACTGGGATACAAAGGTGAAGGTTAGCTCTAGAAAGTGTCTGCCAGGACTGAGGAACAGAAGATGTACTGCTTCTTGGTCTGATTATGCAAGGAGAGGTTCTCAGAAAGAGTAACCAACTCAGGTAAAGCCTTTGAAATGGGCATTTTGGCAAGTGCTTGTAACCCAGACCTCAGAAGAGTGCCCATTCCCCCAGCCGCTCCAGCCGGCTGTGGAAGGTTTAACAACTCACACGTCTTCAGCTCAGCCCTACAAAATACAATAAATCAGTCTGGGTTGGTTTTTTTTTTCCCTTTCCAGATTGGTCTTGCACAAAATCCCTCAGTGAGTCTGGTGAAATACTGCATTCTGCCCAAGGGTATTTGGACCTAATTACATGAAACTTTACTAGCCCATGGGAGCAAGCAGGGGGTTCTCTAGCATTTCCCATGAGCAGAGCTTAGAGCGTGAAGGAAGTGTATTTGTGCATAAGGGAGGAAAGGCATACTTGGGTGTGAGAGAGACAAGGGGAGATAACGTGGGAAAACTGGAATATCAGAGAAGAGGGGGATGAGGAAAACAGAAAAATTAATTAAAAAGGAAAAATAAAAAGAGATGTGGAAGGAAAAGGGCAACACAAAAAGCAGAGAATAAACAATGAGTAGGTAACAGGAGATATCAACACATTATGCATTTGTTTTGCAGCAAAATTCACTGAGTTTCCCCGAAATGTCACGGCCACCGAAGGGCAGAATGTGGAGATGTCTTGTGCTTTCCAAAGTGGCTCCACTTCGGTGTACCTCGAAATCCAGTGGTGGTTTCTGCGGGCGGCTGAGGACCAAGAGGCTGGAGCTGAGGTGACAGGCACTCAGGTACTGATCCTCTGCCATGGGGTCCCCAAACCACCCAGGAAT